CTGTTACAGCAGAGATAGTTGAAATCACACATCCAATTTCCCCATTTTTCAAACGCCCTCCACGAGCATGCTCATCATCAAAATAAACACAAAAAATTAAATTCAATTAAAGACCCCTACCGCCCCCTGATACAAACCAACAATTCCAATTTCAGGAAACAAAAATTAAAAAATAAAATCAAACTCAACTAAAGACCCCTAGCGCCCCTTTTGCTTCAAGGAAATTAAAAGCAAAAATTCAAATTTTCTCAAACATCACAAACGTCTTCAATTTGCATTAGTATCATTAAAAAGAAATAAAAATAAATACCCTTAGCGTCCCATAATGCAAACCATTTATATTTAATGAAAAAATCAAAACGCCTTCCAGAAACCATTTGCAAACCATTTATATTTAATGAAAAAATCAAAACGCCTTCCAGAAAAAAAAATATGGAAGAAAATAATATTTAAAATCAAATTCAATTAAAGACCCCTAGCGCCCTCTGTTACAGCAGAGATAGTTGAAATCACACATCCAATTTCCCCATTTTTCAAACGCCCTCCACGAGCATGCTCATCATCAAAATAAACACAAAACATTAAATTCAATTAAAGACCCCTACCGCCCCCTGATACAAACCAACAATTCCAATTTCAGGAAACAAAAATTAAAAAATAAAATCAAACTCAACTAAAGACCCCTAGCGCCCCTTTTGCTTCAAGGAAATTAAAAGCAAAAATTCAAATTTTCTCAAACATCACAAACGTCTTCAATTTGCATTAGTATCATTAAAAAGAAATAAAAATAAATATTCTTAGCGTCCCATAATGCAAACCATTTATATTTAATGAAAAAATCAAAACGCCTTCCAGAAAAAAAATATAGAAGAAAAAAATATTTAAAATCTTATTCAATTAAAGACCCCTAGCGCCCTCTGTTACAGCAGAGATAGTTGAAATCACACATCCAATTTCCCCATTTTTCAAACGCCCTCCACGAGCATGCTCATCATCAAAATAAACACAAAAAATTAAATTCAATTAAAGACCCCTACCGCCCCCTGATACAAACCAACAATTCCAATTTCAGGAAACAAAAATTAAAAAATAAAATCAAACTCAACTAAAGACCCCTAGCGCCCCTTTTGCTTCAAGGAAATTAAAAGCAAAAATTCAAATTTTCTCAAACATCACAAACGTCTTCAATTTGCATTAGTATCATTAAAAAGAAATAAAAATAAATATTCTTAGCGTCCCATAATGCAAACCATTTATATTTAATGAAAAAATCAAAACGCCTTCCAGAAAAAAAATATAGAAGAAAAAAATATTTAAAATCTTATTCAATTAAAGACCCCTAGCGCCCTCTGTTACAGCAGAGATAGTTGAAATCACACATCCAATTTCCCCATTTTTCAAACGCCCTCCACGAGCATGCTCATCATCAAAATAAACACAAAAAATTAAATTCAATTAAAGACCCCTACCGCCCCCTGATACAAACCAACAATTCCAATTTCAGGAAACAAAAATAAAAAAATAAAATCAAACTCAACTAAAGACCCCTAGCGCCCCTTTTGCTTCAAGGAAATTAAAAGCAAAAATTCAAATTTTCTCAAACATCACAAACGTCTTCAATTTGCATTAGTATCATTAAAAAGAAATAAAAATAAATACCCTTAGCGTCCCATAATGCAAACCATTTATATTTAATGAAAAAATCAAAACGCCTTCCAGAAACCATTTGCAAACCATTTATATTTAATGAAAAAATCAAAACGCCTTCCAGAAAAAAAAATATGGAAGAAAATAATATTTAAAATCAAATTCAATTAAAGACCCCTAGCGCCCTCTGTTACAGCAGAGATAGTTGAAATCACACATCCAATTTCCCCATTTTTCAAACGCCCTCCACGAGCATGCTCATCATCAAAATAAACACAAAAAATTAAATTCAATTAAAGACCCCTACCGCCCCCTGATACAAACCAACAATTCCAATTTCAGGAAACAAAAATTAAAAAATAAAATCAAACTCAACTAAAGACCCCTAGCGCCCCTTTTGCTTCAAGGAAATTAAAAGCAAAAATTCAAATTTTCTCAAACATCACAAACGTCTTCAATTTGCATTAGTATCATTAAAAAGAAATAAAAATAAATACCCTTAGCGTCCCATAATGCAAACCATTTATATTTAATGAAAAAATCAAAACGCCTTCCAGAAACCATTTGCAAACCATTTATATTTAATGAAAAAATCAAAACGCCTTCCAGAAAAAAAAATATGGAAGAAAATAATATTTAAAATCAAATTCAATTAAAGACCCCTAGCGCCCTCTGTTACAGCAGAGATAGTTGAAATCACACATCCAATTTCCCCATTTTTCAAACGCCCTCCACGAGCATGCTCATCATCAAAATAAACACAAAAAATTAAATTCAATTAAAGACCCCTACCGCCCCCTGATACAAACCAACAATTCCAATTTCAGGAAACAAAAATTAAAAAATAAAATCAAACTCAACTAAAGACCCCTAGCGCCCCTTTTGCTTCAAGGAAATTAAAAGCAAAAATTCAAATTTTCTCAAACATCACAAACGTCTTCAATTTGCATTAGTATCATTAAAAAGAAATAAAAATAAATATTCTTAGCGTCCCATAATGCAAACCATTTATATTTAATGAAAAAATCAAAACGCCTTCCAGAAAAAAAATATAGAAGAAAAAAATATTTAAAATCTTATTCAATTAAAGACCCCTAGCGCCCTCTGTTACAGCAGAGATAGTTGAAATCACACATCCAATTTCCCCATTTTTCAAACGCCCTCCACGAGCATGCTCATCATCAAAATAAACACAAAAAATTAAATTCAATTAAAGACCCCTACCGCCCCCTGATACAAACCAACAATTCCAATTTCAGGAAACAAAAATTAAAAAATAAAATCAAACTCAACTAAAGACCCCTAGCGCCCCTTTTGCTTCAAGGAAATTAAAAGCAAAAATTCAAATTTTCTCAAACATCACAAACGTCTTCAATTTGCATTAGTATCATTAAAAAGAAATAAAAATAAATACCCTTAGCGTCCCATAATGCAAACCATTTATATTTAATGAAAAAATCAAAACGCCTTCCAGAAACCATTTGCAAACCATTTATATTTAATGAAAAAATCAAAACGCCTTCCAGAAAAAAAAATATGGAAGAAAATAATATTTAAAATCAAATTCAATTAAAGACCCCTAGCGCCCTCTGTTACAGCAGAGATAGTTGAAATCACACATCCAATTTCCCCATTTTTCAAACGCCCTCCACGAGCATGCTCATCATCAAAATAAACACAAAACATTAAATTCAATTAAAGACCCCTACCGCCCCCTGATACAAACCAACAATTCCAATTTCAGGAAACAAAAATTAAAAAATAAAATCAAACTCAACTAAAGACCCCTAGCGCCCCTTTTGCTTCAAGGAAATTAAAAGCAAAAATTCAAATTTTCTCAAACATCACAAACGTCTTCAATTTGCATTAGTATCATTAAAAAGAAATAAAAATAAATATTCTTAGCGTCCCATAATGCAAACCATTTATATTTAATGAAAAAATCAAAACGCCTTCCAGAAAAAAAATATAGAAGAAAAAAATATTTAAAATCTTATTCAATTAAAGACCCCTAGCGCCCTCTGTTACAGCAGAGATAGTTGAAATCACACATCCAATTTCCCCATTTTTCAAACGCCCTCCCCGAGCATGCTCATCATCAAAATAAACACAAAAAATTAAATTCAATTAAAGACCCCTACCGCCCCCTGATACAAACCAACAATTCCAATTTCAGGAAACAAAAATTAAAAAATAAAATCAAACTCAACTAAAGACCCCTAGCGCCCCTTTTGCTTCAAGGAAATTAAAAGCAAAAATTCAAATTTTCTCAAACATCACAAACGTCTTCAATTTGCATTAGTATCATTAAAAAGAAATAAAAATAAATACCCTTAGCGTCCCATAATGCAAACCATTTATATTTAATGAAAAAATCAAAACGCCTTCCAGAAACCATTTGCAAACCATTTATATTTAATGAAAAAATCAAAACGCCTTCCAGAAAAAAAAATATGGAAGAAAATAATATTTAAAATCAAATTCAATTAAAGACCCCTAGCGCCCTCTGTTACAGCAGAGATAGTTGAAATCACACATCCAATTTCCCCATTTTTCAAACGCCCTCCACGAGCATGCTCATCATCAAAATAAACACAAAACATTAAATTCAATTAAAGACCCCTACCGCCCCCTGATACAAACCAACAATTCCAATTTCAGGAAACAAAAATTAAAAAATAAAATCAAACTCGTTAAAGACCCCTAGCGCAAACAAACTTTTCTAATTTTATTAAACATTCTAACAGCATCCAGAAGCATGAATGTCATCAAAGTAAAAAAATATATAAAATTTAATCAAATACCCCACTTTCAAATTCCTTATTTTCCAAACGCCTTGTGTTTTATGACATGAGTATCATCGAAGTAAAAACAAATTAAATTTAAATTAGATACTCCTAGAGGGGGCGCTAGACTGCTTGTTATAATTTAAAAATAAAATCATCTTTTTTAATTCCTCCGTCGAATTTGCTTTTGCTTAACAATTAGAAAATAAATCAAGTTTTTAAAGATCGTTTTGTGTGGAGGCATTTAAACTAATCATACAATTTTGTTAAACACTTCATGATTGCCTACGGCGGCTGTCTCAGAGAACTTAGATTTTTTTTGTTCACCTTGCTGATACATCACAAGAAAGGTGTGTGTTATGTTTATGGACTTTTGGTTTTTTTTATAATGTGTATGAAAACAATAAGAGGGCGTTAACAGTAAAGGTCTAGCATGAGGAGCATCAGGAGGGCGCATAAGGTATGAAACACAAATCATTTGGGGGGGCCATGGCCCCCCCTGGCCCCCCCTTGCGCACGCCTGTGCGAACAATTGACGGCCAGTCAAATATGATCTCAGCCAACTACAAATTATCGAAGATGCTCCTAGTCGCTCCAGCTTAGCCAACAGAATATCGTGATTAACTGAGTCGAACGCAGCCTTTATGTCAGTGTATATGCTGTCGATTTGACCTCCTTGCTCGATTTCGCTGATGCAAAACGACGTGTATTCACACAGATTAGTGATGACTGAACGTTGCGGAAAAAATCCATGCTGAGATGTTGAAATGTACATTTTACAGGCCTGGAACATAACATCATTGAGAATTATCTCAAAACATTTTGATCCGGCAGGTAACGAAGTTATTCCACGATAGTTCGACACATCCACTTTACTGCCTTTCTTGAAGATAGGCTGCATGTATGACATCTTCTTAGCGATTGGAAACTGCTGGCTTCGAAGAGAGAGGTTGAATATAGCTTGCAGAGGTGTAATCAACATGCCACTACATTTTTTCAATATGCACGCAGGAATACCGTCCGGTCCAGGTGATACAGATGATTTCAGCTTCTTCAGTGCATTCTCCACCATCGTCTGATTAACATCGAAAATATCAATGTCGAATGCGTCCACGGGCAGGGACCTTGTCGCAGTTTCACCATCCGATGGAGACCCAGTTGATGCCTAAAAAACACTCGCAAATCGTGCACCAAATAGTTCGCATTGGGCTTCTGCGGTGGAGGCAGATTAATCTTCCATGCGCATGGTAGATGGAAGGACGCTTTCATTTCGCTTAGTGTTTACAAAATTCCAGAACTGTTTAGGATTTCTTCGCAGATTGTCCTGAACACGTCTTACGTATCTGCCGTACAAGTAACGGTTATAGCTCCGATAGTTGCGACTAGTTAATGTTAATGCTGGGTAATGCGCAATACAGATCCCATTGAGATCACTAGCCTCTTCCAAGCAACTCCTATCCCTACCTCCCCGTGGTACCGGCCGGGAACTGTGAGTAACCTTAGGGAAGATCGGGTAACCAACCCCGGTGGGAACTTTGGTCATAGGCTGACAGGGAAGGGGGGGGGGTTTGCTTCGGCAAGCCTGAGCGTCTGTTCTCCAGGAGGAGCGGCTCACAACAGCGTCTGTTCCCATGTTAGGGGCGGCTGATCTACGTCCGAGTGCCAGTGAAGGACTCTAAGCACAACTGTGCACCCTGGTCCTCCGGAAAGTTAGGGGGTTGGTGTCAGGCCCTGCGAGCCAGCCGTAAAAAAGCATTGCAACGGAAAATCAGCAACAGAGGAATACGAACCGAGACCAACGGCAACGACCCCAGCGACGAAATAGGACTTGCGATTGGAAACTCGGCACGTGGAACTGTCGATCTCTCAATTATGGAGAGCGGCAGCCGCAAACCAAGTATTGTAGCGTACTATTGTTGATTATGTCTTATCTTAAATGTGATGTTGTACAAATAAATGTATGTATGTAGTTGCGACTAGCTCGTGCAAATGCCAGTTTGGTGATGCCATTTTTGCGTGCCGAGAAGCGTTTAAGCATCTTAGATCGAATACGTTGAGGGTACTGTAAGCGAGAATTGGACCAAGCAGGTTTTCTCCGAGGTCTTGACAACGGAACACAGAATGTGAAGCAATCGCGCAGTATACTGTTGAAGCAACTAACAGCATCATCTACGTTGCTACACCGACAAACAGTAGACCAATCAACTTTAGAAAGCATAGAGTTGAGTACGTCATAATAAACTTTACTATTTAAAGTCACGATCATGTTCATCGACGTTCTCAACAAATGGAAAGATTGCTGAACAATACACCGTGAAAACAAGAGCTGGATGATGAGGATCGATATCTACAACCGACTCCGGGGCCTCATCAACTGAACTGCAATCTGTCATGCAGTCGTTCGAAAATATCCCATCAAGCGTTCTGTCCAAGTGATTGCGTATCATATTTCGTTGTCTCAACCCTCCAAAAGCAAGGCTGTCCAGAAGAATGCGGCAGAGACATTACCCAATATTTGACCTTCAAATACCTTGGAGTCTGATTTGATTCAAAATGCACTTGGGGTACCCACACTAAGTATTTGAAACATAAGTGTCAATAAAGGATCAACTTTCTATGGTTAATTTCCGGGCCGTGGTAGGGTGCTCACCCAGCAGACCTCATTAAGCTATATAAAACAACTGTTCTTTCAGTTCTTGAGTATGGCTCTTTTTGCTTCCTCTCAGCAAGAAAAAGCCACCTAATTAAATTCGAACGCATTCAATATCGTTGTTTACGTATTGCCCTTGGCTGTATGCATTTAACACATAATATGAGCCTTGAGCTTCGGGAATAAACCCCTGCAGAAACATTTCTGAGAGCTCTCATTAAAAGTATTGATCAAATGTAGTGTCAGTACAACATTGTGATTGAAAACTTCGAAAAAATGCTCGAATTGAGCACCCCACTTAATTATATATCATCGGATATTAGCCGACCGTGCTATAGCCTGCCTCGTGTACGCTTTACTAACTACAGTTTCCCCATTGACTATGATCCCTCCATGAAACAGGCTATTCAAGGAGTTCCATATCAACTTCGAACTATCTCAATTACACCCATATTTTTGCTGAAAAGTACCAAAAAGTCAATTGCAATAAAAGATTTTTCACTGATGGATTACGCATTGATGGATCCACTGGCTTCGGTGTCTTCAATGAACACTCAACTGCCTTCCGGAAACTTCAGGAACCTTGTTCCGTATATTTTGCTGAGCTAGCAGCAATCAACTTCGCATTGGGGATGATTTCCGACATGCCCACAGGCCATTACTTCATCTTCTCGGATAGTCTCAGTTTGATTGAGGTTATTCGGTCGATGAAACAAGGCACTCCTCTTATTTCCTTTCAAAGGTAAGGGAGCAGATGAGTTTGCTGGTCGAGAGATCATATATGATTACCTTTATATGGGTCCCCTCATATTGCTCAATCTCCAAGACAGACTCTCTCGCAAAGGTGGGCGCACAACAAGGAGAGATTTATGATAGAAGAATTTCACATGATGAATTTTTCCCATTAGTACGTCATAGTTTTCTTCTAAGTTGGCAAAACGATTGGACATGTAATTCTCTTGGGCGGTGGTTACATTCCATCACTCCAAATGTTGTTTGGAGAGCGTGGTTGAAAGGCCTGGATGTAAGTCGGGGATTCATTCGCGTGATGTCAAGACTTATGTCCAACCACTACTCGCTAGACGCACATCTCTACAGAATAAATCTCGTTGACAGCAATATATGTAGGTGCAGAACCGGTTATGATGACATCGATCACGCAGTTTGGCATTGCCCGGGTAATGATGTCTCCAGAGCACGACTATTGGATACCCTAGTGGCCCGAGGTAGACAACCCTTCCGTGAAGTAAGAGATGTATTGGGATCCCGTGATTTTCCCTAGATGCAGGCGATCTACGAATTCCTTTGTTTGTCTGATGTTAGAGTTTGATGTAACCATCCCCTTCTTTCCAAACAATTTCCAGTCATTGTGTCCCAGTCTTATTATCCTCTTGTTTCTTTGCTACTTGCCTCTGCCCAGCCAGGATGTGGTCAACCGTCCGAGAGTTTTATCTGAAGGAGGCTTCAGAAACCAGTTTCCTACCTAGCTCCTTCCAATCGAAATTGTTACCCATTAACCTTGAGCCCGACACAAGTTATTGGTACCCAATACTATCCTAGAACCACTGCTGTTTAGAATGTAAATTCAAACATTACTGATTTTTAGCTCCGCCATAGTCACGCACGACTGAACCTAGTAAATAAATGAACCAGTTAAAAAAAAAACAAATAATGATTTCTGTAAAAATCCATTTTAAGAGCAGTATTGCTTCTTAAGTCTAGATTATCAAAATTTCCGTTAGAATTATGTTGGCTAGTATTTTGATATCTACCCGGTGCAATTTCTGCAAAGGTAGCTCCATTTACTCGCTGAAAATTGTTCGCAGCGAGGGAAGCAGGTATGATGAAACATTTGAAACAGGGGTGATATTTGTTTCTACGGGTACTAATGTAGAATTTGTTCATCGCTGACCGTTGTTAAAGGCAGAGGAATTTGTACCTGTTCGGGAATGTGGAGCGTTTCCTACCTGTCACTTAGAACGAGATTGTAGGATCACGAGTCTTACATTCCCAAACTATTACGTGATATAGGCTGTAATGTGAACGGGGTATTAAGGGGGTATTCCCAATCTTTTGCCTTTTTTCGGCCTGTTTTTCAATTAATTTTTTTTCAAGAAAAATGAATAGTAATGCGCCTAACTCTTTGGGATTCTTGTTTATTGAACATTAAAGTTTACAAATAAATTTTTTTCGACATAAAAAAGACATTATTGACGTCACAAAATGGCGGCAAACAGACCCCTGTTCGCCGCAAACGCCTGGACGGGCGAAGACTTTTCTCTGGAACGACTTCATCTGAAACAGATTTCGTGATGAAATTAATAATCTGCATAAGATTCTCTGGAGCTTCTCCCGTTGGCAGCAAAAAATCTTGCAAATTAACAAAATGGCGGCCATATGAAAAAACAGGCGATTTTTAGCCCGCTTTTTTGCAGCTTTAAGGTGCTTCAAACAATGTTAAATGTTAATATTTTTGGCTGAAAGTGGGAGAAGCTCCAAAGAATTTAATAAGGAACAAAATGCGCAAAGATTCAAGTCAATATCTCTTATAGTTTCTGAGAAAAATCTTCGCCCGATAAAAAAAATGTGGTTTCGAGAAAAACGCGTTTAAAGTTTTGACTTTAGTTAAAACCATTTGGGGGTTCTTACCATTAGTCAGCTATGCCTGGACACCGAATTCGCTGATCGGAAAACGGCTTGGGGGGATGAAAGTATATAGTCTAAAGTACAAAAAAACGTGAAAAAAAAAATTTGATTTTTTGAAAAAAAAGATCGGGAATACCCCCTTAATGAACAATCAATAAAGCTTCCTATTACACTAGCATACTTCCATACTTCATATCCGGCTGGCGGACCTTGAGTGGTCAACTAGCTTATAAATTTAAGTTTAATTGGAAAAAAGAAGGTAGACCTAGCTTTACATGGAAGGATACACTGAAGCAAGATTTTGTAAAGTATGAGGGTATGGATGAAAGAGTCTGGAAGTTCTAGCTAAGGATAGGGAAAAATTGAAGTGAAGAGCAGAGGAAATCTATAAGGAAAGTGATAGTGCGATTTCGGATGGGGTAAGTCATCATCAAAAGGTATGTTCGTTGGTACAGGTAAATTCATTAATATAATTCGTTTTTGAGTACATAAATAACCCTTATTGTCAACCCCTCTTTGATAATCTTTTCAAAAATAAAACATAAAACAAGACCTTAGAGCACCCAAACAAAACGATTAAAATTTATCTTATCAAAGAAAGAGAGTTAAAATATCAATTCCTATTATCTAAAATAATTAAAATTCGGATGCAGTGGGGTTGATAAAATTGGAATATTACTGTAAATCATTCATTTTAAAACATTATATTATATATTGGGTTGGGGAGGGGCAGCCAAAGGGAATCAAAGGATTTGTTGATTGAACGAGGGTTCGTGGATTTGCCAGTCCTTTGTCACGTGATTACACGTGGCTATCTGGTCGTTTTGTCTTCCAATGGTCTTCAATCAAGCTGAATTCACCCAGCTACAACAAACCATCAAGCAGAACTTCACAACCCTATGAAAATTATGCTTTCCCAATATGGTACATTCTCTCACTATAAACCTGTCATTTCTAGCCTATCTGAACTATT